GTAATGTCTTACTTTTATGTACGCTTTCGATTTGCCATTGATGTGCATCCTGTTTTAATACGCATAATGGTTCACAACACAACAGGGAATTTCTCCGAGTGTTGCTGAAGTCGACCGTAAGCCAATCACTTATGGTCTCAACCAGCCTTCCTGTGTATGCTTCTCTTCGTAGTTTTATCATGAGTAATATCTTGACCATTGCAGTGTAAACACCCTAGAAGCTTTCTTTATTACTGTTGCCTATACTGCTCGAATATTCCATCATGGTACTTCGCTGCACCTCTGATGTTGCGTCTAGGTGCGTATCTCAGACTCATTAGATCGACTCTAATTCGTCTGTAGCAATGTCACACGCACTGACCAGATTCCCACGTTCAATCCCTTTGTCTGCCTGGCTCTTTGGTTTCGCTACGGTCATTCTTTCATGGCTTTTTGGCGTATTTTTGTTTGGATCTTGTTGTGCATGCATTCACAAACCTAACAATCAACTTTTGGGGAGCAGGAATTATTCCCAATCGGAGTGAGAAATATGAGAGCTTCCTAACTTCACAGAATGTGTTTTGAACATGCAGTGACCATGATAAATTATGTGATAATATGACGCCAAGGTATTTTACCGTTGCTGATTTTGGTACGGGTTCATGATTGTCAGAGAAGGTGTGGAGCCTATATGTGAGAGCTGAATATGGTACATCGGCGAAGAGATAAAACACAATATCCTGACATTCAGAAGCATTCAATGAGAGGGAACGGGAAAAGGGTCAAGGAACAACGTCGTTTAGCTTACTTTGAATTTCTGAAACCTCTTCAGGGGTGGATGCTTTGCAACCTCGACCGTACTCGATGTGAAGGCCATCCGGCTTATCGACGAACCGTCTTTAACTTCCAACGTGCAGTCGCTTTCCCACCGCCGTTCAGTTGCTTCTTTATCGCTTTTCTATCGTTACTATTTTGGTTTCTGCTCTTCTGAATTCGCTTCAGCAGTTCCCCTTCCATTTACCTTTTCTCGTTCTGAGGTGAGCAGTCATCTTTATCAGGTTTCCATCCCCAGCTGCCGAGGACTGCGAAATTATGGAACACTCTTCCCATTTCCGTGTTTTCGCAAGCTCTTGTAACCTTAACCTTTTCCAAAGCAGGATTAACAAATTGATTCTTACTTGAATATTCCCCCATACAGTATATGATTGATTATGGGGTTTACCCTTTTTGCTGTAAATCACTTCTTGTGTGTACTAGAATAACAATGCCATCTGCGTATTTACAGCCAAGGAATGGGAAATTGTTTGACATACATGGAAAAGAAAAATGGGGAAAATATTGCACCTTGCAGAACACCAGAAGCAACTAGAGGAGTTTTTGCCGTTGAGGCATGTAAAGTGCCTTCTAGTTGTGAATTAATCGCAGATCAATCTGCCAACGTTTGGATTAATGCCGCTTTCGGTAATCCGGTTGAGCGATACCGATTGATCAAGACTAAAGGAAGAACACCATTCTTGCTTTTCTTATCTCGTGTCGAAATTGTTGAATGAACAAGGTACGCAATGGCATCAAGTGTTTGGCGCGAAGAACAGTATGCAAATTGATCTGTCGTCTTCGACAAACTCTGTGACAACCCACAGTATCAAACATTTCTCAAATAATTTGAGCATGACTGACTTACAGGCGATGGTACGATACTTACTAGGTTCCTTTTTTGGAACGGGAGTTATCTTGGCTAGTCTCCAAATATCAGGAATTTTCCGCTTATCAGACAGTCATTGAATATTTTAGACAACGGGGCTGAAAGAGTGTCCGTGCATATCTTGAGTACTACGGGTGATAGTTCATCCGGGCCCGATGCTTTATTCGACTTAGTTTTTAGTAGCCGTTTCAGGACTGTTGCGGTTTCGATAGTTGGTGTTGGTATAAAGCTAAGTCTGACAGGGCACTGTGAAACTAGACTAAACGCAGAATTTAGTCTCTCAACGTCGATAGTTTCCTTTTTGTGTTTATTGCTACTGCCACAGGCGGTTGATAACTCTCCACATGCCTCGACAACAAGAGTTTCCCAGGTTGGTGTCGATGTACAATTTGTTCAGCCGATTTACTTTAGTTTTGATCGAAATTGTAAGCCGCTTGACCTGGGTTGTTTGTCCATGTTTATAGGCCTGTTCTTTCCTCCTGCGTAGCTGTTCTAGTATTGTCACTGGCCAGGAAGATCAAAAGTTCACCAAAGGCTTACTACGAGCACGCCTAATTTAAGTCAACTCTGAGAGAAGCAATAGGTTGTAGAAAGAGATAGGATAGCATCATCATGATGCACAACGTTCAAACGCTACTGTCCTGTTCGAGCATTTTCAAAGTTGGCGTTTCGCAACCTACTTACCCGCCAGTGAAATACGTGCTGCTGGAGGGAATCTACTTGTCCCCGAAAGTTATATAAATAGCTTTAAGCACAGTAGATGCAAATAAAACAGAAAAGATTGTACCTTATGTTATTTATTTTCGCATTCGTCTGAGTTCCCACCGCGTGCCAAACAAATCACGTTACAATAATCTTTTTGCAAAGAAAAACGTTCCGTTCTTTGCTCTTGGGCGCGTTACCGCTAGGTTGCCGTGGCGAAATCCGTTGAATTTTCCTTGCGAGTTTACAACCAGCGCCTTCGGCTAGCCAAGGCCTAACCCACAACCCAGGTAGCACGTCTTCGGCTAATAGCGCACTAATAGTTGGCTACATTTGAGCTACGGCACCAAAATTGTGGCTCATTAGTGGCCTAGTAGCTGTCAACAATGAGCTACATTGCAGAACATCCCGTTTTTAGTTTTCCGCCTTAAGGCGAGCAATTGTCCCGTCTCTAATACTCTATTAACTGTTTATTTTCACATAAATTTTCTGTCTCTCCATGGACTTCAGCATATTTTGCGCACTGATTAGAACGCACTTAATCCACGAATTAAGACACCAAAAATGAGTTATTTGATGGAATTAATGATCAAA